ACCCGTCCCAGCGCCTTCCGGCTTCCGGCCCCGGCGCAGCGTCATCACCCGCCGCCGGAAAAGCCTCGCCGCGCCCCCACCGCTTCCGGCCCCGTGACGCCGGCGCGGTGCAGCGCCCTCCCGGAAGCAAGACACGGGCCAAGAGGGAGACTTTTTTCAAAATCAGTAAAACTTTATTCTATTTCCATTCTTTGCCATTAACAGAAAAAAATTGGAGAAAGCAATGTTTGTTTTACAAAGATAATGCATCTCCCAGAGAAGAAAACCCTAAATTGAGAATAGAGGTAACATGAAAAAACCCCCCCAAAAAAAACACAGTACTGCCCTCTATTCAAAGAAAGTAACTCCTGATCTTTTTGGTTAAAGTAATACTTAGACCAATCATTCCGTTTTCTTGCTTGATAAAGTGTGACTGGGGAATGGAGGGAGGGGGCAGGGGGAGGGGGGGAAAAAGAAAGCACACAGACATCAACTATTTCACCTTGATGAAAGTCTCAATACAGCTATGGAAAGCCTAAGTATTTATTCTTTTACAGTACACTGGGTGCCGGCTGCAAAAAAGAAAAAAAAAAAATGTATTCACTTCAGGCACAACTTCTTTCTTTTTAAATTTAAATCAGTAAAAGAAACTGGGTTTAGAAGCTGCAGTGTTCTAAGCAGCAGCAGATTTGTGCATTGTTTTAAATATATTTAAATTATCACACTGATGGCACACCTCAGCCTTATGAAATTCTGCACTGCATCTGTTTCAGAACACTACAAAAATAAGTCTACCCCAGAAAGAGACTTTCACTGAGCTCTAACAACTTTGCTGGCTAAAGGACTCAAGTTAAATGAAATATGAAAACATTGTAACATTTGGCCATCAACTTAAATTATCTGAATGTTCATGCAGATTTTATATAAAGTTGAACTTATTCCACCCTTGTATGGTCCTCAGAATTTGAGCAGAGTAAGCCTTCCACTTCCACTTGGAAGGAAAGACATAATGCATTTGAACACTAAGGCATAGTAATACCTTGGCCAAAATAACAAAGATAAAGCATAGATAATTGTAGTGCAGAATTCCATAAGGTCTACCAGGGTAGAGCTGTCTATAATGTTTACTCACATAGGCAATGTAGATTTGCAGTTACCAGTTGCGTTAAATGCACCATTCAAAACAAGCTTCTAAAATGTGATACTATAAGGCGCCACCTTAAGTTCTCCAGAATGCAACTGTGCATAACTTTAAAATGGTTTCATAAATTTATTTTAAACATAACATGAGAAGGTGTTAAAACTGGTGTAATAGCTTCGTAGAATTTGGAGGAAGGGATGAATAGGGAGATATTCAGTACCCTTCACCAGCCCCCACCACTCAGTCGTACATCACGTATGGGTTTTGTGGATCAGTCTATAACACCAGCTTGACGGATCTTTCTCTCTGCACCAAATCCCTGCAAAGAAACAAAACAAACTTTTAGCTCCAGCATCGTGCTTTAATGCAAACCTGTTCTGTTTCAACCAAGTACAGCATCAGTGCATTTCTAGTTAGCCACATTTGACTTCAGAAACAACAGAGACATTGACAAAACAGATTCTGTGAGTTGCTCTTGATCGTCCTAGATACTTCACAGATTCCAGACACTTTACTCCTGCTTATCAAGTGGCGGCAGAACCTTACGTGAAAGCCAAGTTGAGATAAAGGGATTTCACTTACTAGCTCTGAGAAGAGGAGCAGGAGGTTTATAAAAGAAAAAACAAACCAAGATAGCCATTACGGGCAAGAACACAAGAAGCAATTGCTTTCTTCTATACTGCGTGCTCTTCGGAAACCACAGCATAGTTACTGACACAGGGTATAGTGCCCCTGACTGCACAAAAATAATCTGATCTCGCATGGCACGTGGCTAGTTCACTATGTGATGAAAGCAGATGCCACGTTTCAAACAGTTTAGGCTGCCAACAGAGAAAGCAGTTAAAATACAAACTGCAGTTATTCTGCAAGCTAGCCTTTTCTCTTACGTACCTTTGAGTTATCCGGTCCCCTAGGCTGACGAAGAACTGTTAGACGAGGAGCATTGGCATCATCCAGATTAATGCTCTTTAAACGATTAACGAGCCTATCAGGACGTGGAGCAGCAACAGCCTTAGCGCCTTCACTGTAACAGAGTCAACCACAAAGAGCACTGATGACCTCCCAGAGATGGAGTACGCTACCTAATTTATAGTCACTTTCCCCATTAAATCATTAGCATAATCAGTCTAGTGTGAAAGCAGACCTTCTGGATGACATCATGTATGTCTGCCTCAAAACCACTACTTTAATCACAGGAGTCTGAAATAGCAGTGGCTCAAAACAATATTCTCAAAAGAGTATTCTTTAGCGAGTAGAGGTGTTGCATTTACTCTCATGCACACAATAAGTAGTATTTCCTACATTTCTGCTCCCTTTAACTGGAACAATAAAAGGCTTACAAGTTGCCTGTACACAACGGCATAGCAGTAACATCTCTGAAGATGACGAGAACAGAATTTTGGGAGAAAAAAATTTAAATGCTAGCACTTCTACAGCAACAGGAAGCTATCTGAAGCTTAAGCAAACCCCAAATTGAACAGTTTTCTTCAAGATGTGTAGTTCAAAAGCAAAAAAGATAGCCATCACCCTTAAGAAATGACATGCCAAAAAGAAAAGAGTGCCTAACAACGTTGTTTTCTACTTTAAAATGAAAGTTGCTCTTTGGGCAACAGATGGAAGCACTGTGTACGATGCTGGCCAGAAAGGCCAGCAACTACATAGTAATACCATCAGTTTTTCTTATAATTAATTAATTTCTACTCAGAAGGCTGTATCCAAGTTCCTGCTACAGGGGAAGTTTCTTAAAAACAGATTAAATTCTAAATCCTCACCAGACACGCCACACATTACAGGCACTGCATTTTCCTGTGCGCTGGTTCAGGATTACTGAGAACTCCACTTCATCCCCAGCCTGTAGCTCCACACCATCTTGAACTTCTTTGACATGGAAGAAGAGCTTTTTGCTGTCACCCACTTCATAATTAATGAAACCAAACTGAAAACCAACACATTACAAGGTTATTTCTTTCCTCTTGGTCCAAACAGATGCAACAACTTACTCATTACTGCAGTTTTAACTACTTTTAGAAAAAAAATTCTGAAGTGCCTAATAGAAGTGGAAATGCAATTTCTACATTGAACAGAACATTCTGTCGGGAAACAATACTTCTGGAAGTCTAGGCACTCTTCTTGGGTTTGTAAAGTCACATTTAAATCCTAAAGTCTATAGAACAAGTTCTGAAAACTGCCTGGAAAAGTCCTGGAAGTTGTATTAAACCGGGAAAAGCACAGCTGCATGTTCTTTTCTAAGACTCCACCTTAGAAGTTACACAGTAGAAACCACTCCATTTTTTGGTCTGTTGCTGGTGTAAGGAGTCAATTACTTCCATTTACCATTCCACTCACATATAAACCAGCAAAACTCATCCAGCCTCTCCATAAATGATTAGAGCTTAGTGCTGCAGAGTAACTATAAAAATAAAAAGCATTCACAGCACTTCAATTTTTATTCATTCTGACATGCAAGTAACTAGGGCAATGATCAGCTTTTGCATTTCAGGTGGACTGTAATCACTGCTTAATGCTGTGAAGAAGCTTCTTCTAGAAGCAGAGTATGCACAGTTTTGTTTCTTTTTTTTTTTTTTTTTTAAACACTTCTTAACGCCCTGTTCAGCAGAAATCAGTTAGTTTACTTTCTAGCAGGAATTGCTGCCCAGTAGTACCGATGTATCAGCACCAAACCAAGTACTGAGTTCACCTTTACTAAAGTCACATTACACAGGCTTGCATAAACCAGTACTTGGGTTACAGAAACCTACTTCCCTAGAGCCAGAGTAGAAAGCAATACATTTGTGCACAAACTTCCTGGATTCAAGTGCTGAAGGTTCTCATCTGCTCCATGCCAAGTCAAGCAGTTATTTCCTATTAACGTGCATCTTGTCCTCATAGCAGTGGTCACTCACCTGATCTTTCACACATTCCACTGTGGCTCTGCGGAACGGTGTGATGTTAACAGCCATTGTCTGCCCATTTTGACCAAGAACACAGAGCTGAAACTTTACTGTCTCTCCCTTTTGCAGACAGTCACCTTTGTTTGCCATTCCAACAATTCCAAATGGATAGACCTCTCCTTTCATCTCACCTAGAGGAGTAAAAAGTACAAGACAGAATTGAGAGGCATCCTTTCCTATCTAAGGGCATTTAGAATTTATACTTCTAATGTAAGCTTAGTAGTATGAATATAGTCTGTAGTGTGAATATAATCCTCAACACCTCTGTTTACAATTTATTAAAATTCTAAGCTGCTTCTGCATTTGTGAAAAGAACACTTGTAATTTAAAAGCAACAAATCTTACCATCCTCCATGACTTCAATCATGCCCTGGTATTCAGTTTGTGTGGGATCTACACTCCTTAAAGGACGAATTACTTTACCAGAGTAAAGAGTTGGATCAGCTTCTTCAGTGATACCATTCACTGAAAAGAAACAGACAGTGCAAGAACAGGATGTTCTAGTCATACTTTATTTTAAGAAGAATTATTAAGTGATTCAGATTGACCAGAAGCCAATAGTTTGCACTGCAAGACACCCAAGTGTCACCCAGTAAGACTGGAACAGCTTTAACACAGCTATAAGTAATGGTGCTGGCTTGAGGTAAAACCACAACAGTAACAATTGCTTTTCTAATCAAGAACACACTGACAGTTCAAACATGGAAGTAGAAAAATACTAGCTTCTCGCAAAACTAGAGCCCATGGAACTTGAAAAGCAAATCAGTATTTTACTTCTCTTCCGCTACATTCCCTGCTCACTTTAATCATTGAATAATCTTTTAAGAATGCATTTTTTGCCCCCAAGTCCTTAATACCCACACCTGTATTCCTCCTGCAGTTTTCCTTCTGTGA